TCAACAAGGACGGCCAAGCTTCAACGGGTTGACGGGTCGAGTACGTACCCGCGCCCGCGCACGACCGTGGCCTGACGCTTTCCGCAGCCTAGGCGAACAGAACCACACACAGCTCAGACAATCAACACTCGAGCGAGGCCAGGAAATTTCCATGCTCCTTAGATAAGAATGTGAGCGCTCTTGGTAAGATCAAAGAATGAGCAGCTTTCGTTGCCTCAATATTAAGACCGTAGATTCAAGTGACCCAACGTTTCTTAACCGACTGACTCTCTTTGACTCATTTTCAACATGACTTTAGCATGTTTTCCCGATGAGCATCTAAGATCGCACCACGAATTTCGCTGCTAATAGTTGCGGTAGAATGAAGGCATGGGTTGCAACAGGCCTCACTTAGGATAGACATCGTGTTCAATGTTTGCTCTCTGGTAGAGCCCGCGTGCTACAGGAGCCGAGAACCTATAAATACGTCCTCTTCCCCCAGCAATTTGTTCTCCATTACCATCACTTGGCTATGCAGAGTCGAGCAGGTCTTCGATTCCTGATAAGTTCTTCCCTTTGACCTACTGGAATTTCACTGTATTGACATCTACAGTTACATCGTGGACCGACAAGCTAGAAAGTGCTTGTGAGACGCGACGACCACCAGGTCCACTATGTCACTCATGCCAGCCGATCAAAGAAGCAGATTTGGGTTAGCTAGTGAAAGTACCTATGCGAACATCTGTCCACCATAGCAGCCGACCACTGTCCGCACCTGAATATACCGATGCAGAAGAGCGGTCGAGGTAAGTCTGTCTTCGCGCGACCCTATCCGAGACTAGACTGAATTCAAAGACGGTGCGAAACAAAGATCCATGCATTCCATCCAATATACACCAGCCACGGTGCCCTTTCCCGTGTCGTCTTTCAGAACATGTGAGTCAAGCATTGCTTCGCCGATCGACAAGCTAACGATGGACAGGAAACCGTTGACAGCTAACCAGACTGAGTCCGAACCAGCTCTCCGTCAGTGCTCCGCGCAGGGTCATGGCTTACACGCCATTTCTGGCCCTATCACTTCAAACCATGCAACATGTCCTATGTGAAATACTGCAAACTAAGGCCGCGGGCAAACAGCAGGATGCATAAGCCCCAGACGTTCGTTGTGCACGACGAGGTGAGTGCAATATCACGCCTCCTGCTGCGCCGGGTCCGATGATTTGTGCCAACTCTGTGCCGGAAACACAAACACCACTGACATCTCTATGCCATTGCAGGAGCAGCCAGCACATCGCCAACCGCGCAAGGTCTCGTGGCGAGTTACCTATTCCCGCCGACTCAGATAAGACCAAGGAGCCGACGCGCCATCGCGTCTTCCCCCTTCTCACCGCCTTTTCACACGACTTGAGTGCCTCAGCCTCTCGCAGCCTATGGGAAGCGGTCCCCCTTTACGACTGTACAATTTCTTGTCATGGGCGGGTTCGTTGTGCGCCTTTGCCGTGTTGTGAACTTGTCGGTTCATCCAGCGCGACTTCTCGAAGCGACAGCCGGAGAGTGTGACGAACCTGGATACAACATGGCATATTGGTGACTGTATCGCAGAACTGATTTGGCAGTGATCTTGTTGGTAAGCAGGTATGATCACGAATCTTGTTGATTATCTGTCTCAAGCATACACTCGGATTTTTCATGAACGGCGTAAAGTACAGCACCTTGTCCAACTGAATCAACACTTGCTGACTCGGGTCTCACCACAGGAAGACGCCGTCAGATTCCCATCACCCGAATGCAAAGCGAGCAAATCTCTTATCTGCTCGACCTCCCCTACACCAATACCATCTATGCTTTGTTTCTTCCACATGACTACTGGTGGCATCGACGAGTCGCTACCTCGACCTTCTCCCAGTCGATTTGGTTCATCAGATCATGCGTTGGTATGCCTACCTGATGCAGACCCAATGGAGCGCATAGCAGTGTCTGTCTCCCGGCATTTGAACCCTCTCATAGAATGGCCTACTTGCGGCTTGGATCCCTGGCGTCCAGTGGGTGACCATCGTTGTCGTCAGATGGCATCTAGCGTCTTTCGAGCCTGAAACCCCTAAGAAACCGGGAGAAGCCAATGCTTTGTCTAGCTAGAGCCATATTTTCGTACTGGCGAGGTTGTTAGTCGGGACTGCTTGCATGGAGAAGGTGAGGCAAAAGTCCCGTCATTTCTACCCGAATCAACTAACAATAGCCAGTCAGCTTCGAATCGATGGACAAGACCGCGGATGGCCAAACGATTGAGAGGACCCATGACCCAAGAACTACGTCTGATAGAGTCATCTTGATTCCTCTTCCTCTCCGGGTTGCTGAGCTTTTGGACATGCACGGGCGAGCGGGAACCACTCGGACATACACGGAGCTGCATGCTATCAGGATTGTTTGCTTTTCCCTGTTAGACAGAAGCTTGGCGATTTCATTCCTAAGCCAGTGTTTTTCTATCCAAGCCCGAGCACTACGTGCAAAGCCCATACACCTTGAATGTCAGAGCAGCTGGAGGTCAGTCAAGTTATCCAGTATCCTTCGTCCATTGAGGCCGTCGTCTAACATATCGCAATTGGAGGCGCAGGCAGGTCTTGTCAAAATCACAGACTGCTCTACCTCCCGAGCGCATTGTCCTTTGAGCATCGATGATGTATTTGTCACCGCGTCCAGGACGATATCCGGCATATTACTGTTTAAGCAATTCATCGTGACGGTGGGTTTGATATCTGTAACAGCACCACAAGAGCCCTCGGGTTGTAGGAACTCTGAATGTCCCGTACAGCCAATACTTTATTTTCTACCCGTAATAAACCCTTATGCCATATTTGCTTGAGGACGAATTTCAGCAGACGCCCTAGGGCCGG